GGGACGGGACTGGGATACTGGGAGAGCCCTTACTGGGATACTGGGACACCGGGGGACCCGGATACTGGGATACTGGGACACCAGTACCAAGCTGGGAGGCCGGGATTGATACTGGGACAGCGGGATTGATACTGGGATTGATACTGGGACAGCAGGACCACGACCGGGATACTGGGATCAACACCAGCGCCGATACTGGGATACTGGGACTGAGACTGGGACACCGGGACTGAGACTGGGATGAAGACCAACAGGTAAAGGGGAACTGGGGAGACCCCAAACTGGGACTGGGACTGGGATGGGGACTGGAACCATCACCAGGACTGGGACCAGTATCAAGACTGGGATTGGGATTGGGACTGGGACCGGGACCAGTACCAGGACTGAGATTTGGACTGGGACCAGCACGGGGACTGGGATTGGGACTGGGACTGGGACTGGGATTGGGACTCAGACCAGTATCAAGACTGGGATTGGGACTGGGACTAGGACCAGTACCAGGACTGAGATCTGGACTGGGACCAGCACCCAGACTGGGATTGGGACCCAGGACTGGAACCAGCACGGGGACTGAGATCTGGACTGGGACTGGGACTGGGACTGGGATTGGGACTGGGATTGGGACTTGGACCAGTACTGGGACTGACATTTGGACTGGGACTGGGATTGGGACTCGGACCAGTACCAGGACTGAGATTGGGACTGGGATTGGGAGTGGGACTGGGACTGGGATTGGGAGTGGGACCAGGACAGGGACCAGGACAGGGACCAGGACCAGCACAGGGACTGGGACCAGTATCAAGACTGGGACTGGGACTGGGATGGGGCCTGGGACCAGCAAAGGGACTGGGACCAGTATCAAGACTGGAACTGGGACTGGAACTGGGATTGGGACTGGGACTAGAACCAGCACAGGGACTGGAACCAGTATTAAGACTTGGAGTGGGACTGGGATTGGGACTGGAGGCAGCACCGGGACTGGGACCAGGATGAAGACCGGGACTGGGACTGGGATTGGGCCTGGGACCAGCACAGGGACTGGGACCAGTATCAAGACTTGGACTGGGACTGGGATTGGGACTGGGAGTAGCACCCAGACTGGGACCAGTATGAGGACTGGAAATGGGACCGGGATTGGGACTGGGACCAGCACAGGGACTGGGACCAGTATCAAGATTTGGACTGGAACTGGGACTGGAATTGGGACCAGGACTGGGACTAGGACCAGCACAGGGACTGGGACCAGTATCAAGACTTGGACTGGGACTGGGACTGGAGGCAGCGCCAGGACTGGGACCAGTATGAGGACTGGGACTGGGACCGGGATTGGGACTGGGACCAGCACAGGGACTGGGACCAGTATCAAGACTTGGAGTGGGACTGGGACTGGGACTGGGATTGGGACTGGAGGCAGCACCAGGACTGGGACCAGTATGAAGACCGGGGCTGGGACTGGGACTGGGACTGGGACTGGGACTGGGATTGGGACTGGGATTGGGACTGGGAGCAGCACAGGGACTGGGACCAGTATTAAGACTTGGACTGGGACTGGGATTGGGACCAGGAATGGGACTAGGACCAGCACTGGGACCAGTATCAAGACTTGGACTGGGACTGGGACTAGAGGCAGCACCAGGACTGGGACCAGTATGAAGACCGGGACTGGGACCAGTATCAAGACTGGGATTGGGACTGGGATTGGGACTGGGAACAGCACCAGGACTGGGACAAGTATCAAGACTGGGACTGGGACTGGAACTGGGACCAGGACTGGGACTGGGACCAGCACAGGGACTGGGACCAGTATGAAGACTGGGACTGGGACTGGAACTGGGACCAGGACTGGGACTAGGACCAGCACAGGGACTGGGACCAGTATCAAGACTGGGACTGGGACTGGAACTGGGACCAGGACTGGGACTAGGACCAGCACAGGGACTGGGACCAGTATGAAGACTGGGACTGGGACTGGAACTGGGACCAGGACTGGGACTAGGACCAGCACAGGGACTGGGACCAGTATCAAGACTTGGACTGGGACTGGGATTGGGACTGGGAGTAGCACCCAGACTGGGACCAGTATGAGGACTGGAAATGGGACCGGGATTGGGACTGGGACCAGCACAGGGACTGGGACCAGTATCAAGACTTGGACTGGGACTGGGATTGGGACTGGGACCAGCACCCAGACTGGGACCAGTATCAAGACTGGGACTGGGACTGGGATGGGGCCTGGGACCAGCAAAGGGACTGGGACCAGTATCAAGACTGGGACTGGGACTGGGATGGGGCCTGGGACCAGCAAAGGGACTGGGACCAGTATCAAGACTGGGACTGGGACTGGGATGGGGCCTGGGACCAGCAAAGGGACTGGGACCAGTATCAAGACTGGGACTGGGACTGGGATGGGGCCTGGGACCAGCAAAGGGACTGGGACCAGTATCAAGACTGGGACTGGGACTGGGA